CTATACCTATGTATATCAAAATGGAAACTGTTATACGTAGATTAAAAAGTGTTGAACAGTGTTGCCAACTGTTTAATAACTTTCCCCCTAAAGCAATGTCACCATTACACACAATAGACCGGACATAATCTACGTCGACAAGACTGAATAGATGGAACTATTCCGTCAGATTATAACATACGGCCGAAAGAAATAACCCGATTATGGAACACACACACTGAAACTGGACATAATTCGGACAAGGAACTTAAATGCGTTTTGATACTTTGATCGAGCCACCGACGTTATCAAGAGGAGGGGAAGTCAGGCTTTTCAATATGTTGAATTTATTTTGTCAAATAAAGTAGTTAAATAAGGGTATTAATGCTCCTTTAATGCTCCTATTTTATGATGATTAATTTGTAATAAGCTGTATTCTTAATTTTTTAATTATCTATTTTTACTTGTGGTGTTTTTCTTCAAATTTGAATGGAACCAAATGGGAAGTAGGTACCCCCTTAAAACACCTCACAATCGCAATTGCAGTCTTCCGCCACCCCCCCACAGGCATTGACCCGTCTCACCCAAGACGGGTCTCGTCACCCGTGGCGACCGTCACCCTTCGGTTGCAGTCCTCTAGAAGCGCATTCGGAACACTGTGCGCTGCCTCTCGGGCCTGTATCTGTTCGGACGACAAATTTCCCAAAATGGCCAGAGAACGAATACCCTCCGGCGCCCGGCGCTTCTGCGGGCAGAGACAGCGGTGTTGCGTTCTCTCTCGAGTCCTGCCGCTTACTTTGTGGACATCACATGATCGCAGAAGGAAGTGACGGCGCTCCATGCACAGTCGCTGCGGACCATGGTCAAAACCAAGGTCGGAAGGAAGACGCTACCCGCAGAACTTACTGCCGCGATAAGATCTCGACGCTGGCTGGCGAAACCTGGACATTCCGCCAGCGTGTCAAGCGCTGTGTCGTGAGGGCAGTCATCACAATGGTGGCACCGTGACGTCAGCTCCCGGCCGGGTCTTACCCCCGCTATTCCGGCGTGCCCTGCACTGGGCCGCGCAAGTGGTTGGTCCCACTCCGCCACCACAAGATCTGGCGATCTAGCTTACCCCGACCTAGAGCATCCCTGCGCCACTGGGGATGTTTTACAGTTATCACAAAGTGTTTTGACCTATTATTTCCCTCAGAGGTCGTTTCAGATCTTTGAACGTATGAACGTATCTACATTGATTTGAAATTCGCTACTACGAATCATAGAAAAGATTAAACTTAGACTTGATATGACTAAAATGAATTTTGCTTTTATATAAGAATATAATAGGACGTATTAATATGCTATTTTTTCCTTTAGGTCGTAGCAATCGTCGGGCACGCCGTCATCGCGGCGGTAAGACCCGTTGTGGAGGATTGACGACGCAGGTGATCACTGGGAAAGGATGTTTCGGGGATCACCTGTGTCTGATCAACGCCTGAGTGCCACCACTGCGATGGTCGGACCGTGGATACGGCGCTCCACACGCTGGCAGAATGCCCGGCGTGGGTGGAGCAGAGGCGAGACCTCGTGGCGGCCATCGGTGTGGGAGTTCTATCGCTCGATAACCTGATTGCGGCTATCGTGCGGAGCGAGAGTGCGTGGAACTCTGACGTCTCCTTCTGCGAGCAAGTTATGTTTGTGAAGGAGATAGCGGAGCGGGACCGGGAAAGGTTTATAACTCTCCCAGCCCTCCAGGCTCGGGAACGGGCCAGGTACCGCAGACGATTCAGAACGACCTCCGTCCTCCATAAGCGCAGGCCTGGGGGTGACAGGTGAGGCCCTCTGTCACCCTAGCAGAAGCAGCCTGGGGTGGCGGGAGCACAGAGGGAACATGGGGGTTCCCGCACAGGGGGGGGGGGGGGTCGTCTACCCGCCGTAGATGGCCCGAGGTACGTCGGGGCACCAGGGATTTCTTTTCTAGGGTACACCTGGTTCCCCGACTACGACTACGATTTCCGCACAGAAATAAAAAAAAAAGGTCGTAGCAATCGTAGGAATGCAAAAAAATAGGATTTAGATTCATGTCTTGACGTTAGTTTATACCATAACATTACCAAAACTTGGTAGGTAAATGTAATTATATATTTCTAATAAAGTAATAAAATTAATAAAATAAAATTAGCCTTACCTCTAATTGTTACATCGTCAACTGAACAACATAACTCATTTGTTGACCAATAACATAAAAGTAATTTAATAAGGAAGTAAAGCAAGAATAAATACATCATATAGGTACCTACCTAATTTGGTTACTATTATTTCTCAAGATAACACAAATCACTTACAAGGAGAAATAAAATACAAATCATAAGAGATAAAAGTAAACGTTGACAGGTAGATAATTCCAAACTGATTTTTATGCAATTTAGGAACTTTTTAAAATTGAGTTGTCCTGTCTAATGCTGGTTTGAGTTGAGCAAATAGAATGGTAGGTTTACATGCAGTAATTACTTTATGAAACAAAAGGTTTTTTTAACATGTGTTGTTTTACAACAATGTTAAAAATTAATTACTAAAAAAAACATATTTATTATAATAAAATTAGTAGTGCATGAATTTTAAATTTGTAGTTATAGGTTTTAGAATAAACAGGTGGTGCCTTTCAAAATTTGTTCTTTTAATAATTTTTAAATAATACTCGCGAGTTTTTGTCTTTTACATTTTGGGTTGTAAGTTGTACATCCGTGTCCCTTATTACATAATATTTTTTAATTAGTCCTAGGTTTAGAGAGTTTTATGAAGTTTGCCCGTCTTGAACTGAACAGTACTACTGAACAGTAGAACTGTACAGTTGTCGTGAACTTTAATTGTGTGTGAATTTTATTATTAAAGATTTTTCTTATTAGAAGAGACGTGTTGTAATGATATATTTGTTTGTGTTTTAGCAGCTGATCCCCACACCTCTATTAAGTAATCTATATGAGGTCACCATTGAGTTGTAGATTGTGTAGCGAACGTCAATGGGTTAATGGGAGACAACCTGTTAGAAAAGTTAGTTTGGAACATTGATATAGTGTTGTTTTAACTCAATGGTTTTGAACGTAAGTGTTCGATGTGTGGTTTCCATTGTAGTTGACTAGCTAGTATAAACTCGAGACACTTTGCCCTATTTACCCTGACCAACACAGTTCCATTGATAGTTAGGGGTCGTTGATCATGTATTTTTTGTTCTTTGCTGAGAATATTATGTTATTAGTCTTTGAGGCGTTGACAGTCAATAAATTCCTCAAAAAACACTTTTCTAATATTTTTAGATCATCATCATATATTTTGACCCTATTACCATCGTCACGTCACATCGCTTCGCTTCTCGGTGTAAATGAATACTAAATTGCTACAAATAAAGGAAACTTTATATAGGTACATCACATGTAGTAACAGTTCAACTTCGAATAATACCTAATGTTTGCAGGTTTGATAGAAATAGATTATTGTAACATATTTTATCCAACTACCTACAGTCCAACCTGTTCTAATTACAGGTCCCATGATTACGGAGTGTAATGGATCCATCGGTATAAGCAAACTCAAACTATCTTTATTTCATAGTTAATATTAAGATTTACCTCTGATTTACGTTCGACATTCTTCACGTGCAACACATTCCTAATAATCGTTTCTTTTCGCACTTGAATTTCCAGTTGGTTTGTCTTTTCCACTGTAAATGAATTAGATGCAAATTTTGTACTTAGTTTAATAAAATTCTTTAAACTTTGTTAATTCCGTGACACGTTTTGATTTTCAAAATCACCCATAAGCCTATTAACAGCCTCTAAAGCATTTACTTCAATTATACTTTTATCTAGTATCATGTCATCTCCTTTCTTTAAAATCTTTCTTCTGAGTTCATCTGAATTACCTTTCTCCACGATCAAATCAATTATGTTGTCATCTCTACTAGGAAAATGCTGTCTAAACCTGATGAGGAACTCCTTTGGTTCCTATTTTATTAGTCTGATCACATGCCTTTCATACACTTTGCTTGGTCGAAATAGTAATCAAGTTTCTCGATCACTGACATGAATGTATCTGATATATCCTCTTGACTACTACTTCCACCAGGTATATTAAATATATTTCTTGCAGCTTTTGTCCACCAAAATGAAGAAAACAGGAGTATTTCTTTACGCTAGTTTTGAAGCATCAAAACTTTTGATGCTTGGTAAATCTGAAGTGCTCGTTTCCAGTGTTTCCATCACTCCACTAACGATGTAGGATCATCTTCGCACTCGAACTTTTCTAATATCAACAACGACATTATCAGCAAGTCGGTTACCTGTATGAAAATTATTTAGTAATACTTTAATGTCCAAACCTCATGGACAATATTGAACTTCTAGCTGTAAAATGTCCCCACGTCATGGACTACATTAACTTGTTAGCTTTACAATGTCTTATATAAGCATAATAGTAACGCCATCTAGGTAATATGGTAGGTTCAATCATTTATTGATATTAAAATGAAGCGCTTTGTTATTGTGATGGTACTACACCCTCTAAATTCATGTTTTTTAATCAACTCGGATTGGTAAACCTTACTCATTTGGTAGAAAGCATTACCAAAAAAACTCACAAGTTATCATGACCAGGTTAGATGACTATGCCCAGCAGCGCCTAGTTAATGTTAAGAAAGTGTAACCTATTTAAACGACTTTCAGTCATATTATGTAAATATTTCGCGACCAGCCTTTTACCAAGATACCTTAGGGAAGTAATGTCCAATGCAATTCTTTGTACATGGTATCCACTGCCTTATTCTAAATACCTACTACTACGACTTGTAAGTTTCTCAAGAATTCCCGTACAAAAATACTAGTTTCACGTCTCACTTTACCAGTGAAACATATTCAACCGCAACGAAAACAAAAGTATAGGTGTACAAAACAAGTAGGTAACTTGCGTGACTGGTCTAACTATTGACGGTCGCCGACGTTCGCGCCGCGCCGGCCGGTGCCGGTGCCGCGCCCCCATTCGTCGCTATGGCGCTACGCTCTACACTCCTGCGCAACTGTAAGTGTGGAACCCACGAATATTATTTATTCATATTTATTTTAATACAGTCAATTTGGGATAGGAATTTTACGAGTGTGTGTGGGTAAAATTTTAACCATCATACCTATCAGTGTGTGCGTGTGAAAATATGGAAAAGTTTTTTCACCAACGACCTTGTGATGTGACACCTTTTTGTACAAAATACTGCAGCCTACAGGTTTATTCAAAGGTTCAACGCCACATAATGTTGGTTGTGTAACGGCCGAACACTCAAACTGAGCTCAATTATAAGACGACATTTCTCGACTGATCTCACTATTCCTTGAAGGTAATTTGGAGCTGGAGAACTAGATAATAGCATATATAATGACGACTTGTTATTGCCTTTCAATATCAAGCGACACGCACCTTTTTCTATAAACGAAAAAGAACGGATGACAGAAGGACCGCCTTGAAATAAGTATTGTAATGTTATACTCATTGTATTGTAAACGCATATTAATCAACGGTGCTGATTATGAGACCATAAAATATTTAATAACATAAGAATTACATTAGAGTCAGAATTATGTGTTTATTCACAGAATTAGATATTCAATTGTCTATTTAAGTTTGCGTATTTTAACTTCTATTTTGTCTGTTGAATTCTATCATATAAACAACCACATTTAAAGAAACATGTTGCCCGAGGGGGGTTAAAGGACTGTACAATAGTGTATAATACTCTGACAGTACCAAGAACATATTATAATTTTTTGTCTCCTTCTTTTAAGTTATAGTTTTATATTTAATACAACCTCTGTCTCATTCTTCCAAATGGTTTTGACTGTCAATGATTTTCCGTTTCCATATTTGCTCGTGAACTAACAATGCATAATAAGCAGTTTATCTGAGTGGGCCTTGTACATAGAAATTGCAATATAATCAACTGAGTCCTATGCATACAGATAACAGATAACTGCTATTAACAAATTGCAAAACATGTCCGTTGTGTTATTATGCCTACGTATGTAACGTAGGTACTGTAAAACAGAGAACATCAGCGTTTAAGTAACTAGGGGCACGTATTTAAAGATTTTTGTGTGGTTACGTAAGCGGTAGTTTTAAACAGTGTAAGGTATAGGAATATAGATATTCTCGGAGCGTTAGTTCGCTTTAAAGATAACTAGCACAAATAGTAGGCAACATCTCCAAATATTTGTCTCGTTATGAACATTTTCATTTTTCAAAGCAAAAGGAGAAGTCACATAAGAGAACTTTAAGGAATGTTCCTCTTTTTGCGAAAATAAAGGTGCTTAGACCATTGTAAATCTAAAATCTATCTACAACATAACTAACATTTACTTTCCCTCAGAACCCTACTATACTAATACCTAATATTTATCGCTGTCCTTCCAACCATATGTGGTGAAAAAAAAGATAGGTATATTACTAATTGTAAACTTGTGTTTACTACTCGGTTACCACTTAGCCACGAGCCTCTCTAACCAGTTAAATGTTGTGCTATAGGTATTATGTATAAACGTATTTTTTTTTTTATTTTTTTTTTTTATTTGTAAGTAAGTTAACAGAAAAGGGTGTGAGGGGCGAACCACCATCTTTCGCCCCAAGCCAACCTCACCTGCCCGCGGTGCATCCTGCTGAATGACGAACGAGGCTCTGGCGACCGACCGATGGCGGTATATCCATCCCAATAGGCGTAGCTAAATACAACAGGCCGGTGACGGGCAGCAGCGTTACCGGTGCGACAAGCTACGCCCTGCGATCGCCAACCCGCCTGCCCAGCGTGGCGATTATGGGCAAACCCTCCCCATGCAGACGCAACAAAGGCCACGGCCCCCAGTTCCCGGCGGCCCCGCTATTCCTGGTCATGGTGGCGACCACGGTAAAGGCGGGGCAGGGGGTGCGAAGAATCTCCGAGCCACGGGAGGCCACCACAACCGACTGATCCTGGCTACGTACAACGGACGCACGCTACGGCTAGACTCGCATCTGGCACAACTTGAGGTGGAACTTGGGAAGATTAGGTGGCATATCGTAGGGCTATGTGAAGTCCGAAGAGAGGGGGAGGACACCATAACCCTCGAGTCAGGCCACCTAATGTACTTCCGCGAGGGAGACCAACAATCCCAAGGTGGCGTTGGGTTTCTGGTAAATAAGTCCCTATCTGTCAACGTTGTGGAAATTTCCAGTGTGTCGAACAGGGTAGCGTACCTCATTATCAAGCTCACCGAGAGGTATAGCTTCAAGGTTGTGCAAGTGTACGCACCGACCTCGGCACACTCGGACGACGAGGTGGAGGATATGTACGATGACATATCGAGGGCCCTCCAGTAGTGGGTCTTAGTTGTGAACTAAGACCCACTACAACGTTGTTATGGGTGACTTCAACGCTAAAGTGGGTGTACAGAATTGCTGCGAATCGGTAGTAGGATCCCATGGATTTGGAAGCAGGAATCATAGGGGACAAATGCTGGTCAACTTCCTCGAACGGGAGGGGCTCTTTTTGATGAACTCTTTCTTCAAGAAACAGCCCCAAAGGAAGTGGACGTGGCAAAGCCCCGACGCTATGACCAAAAATGAGATCGATTTCATCATGACGGATAGAAAGCACATATTCAGAGACGTCTCAGTGATCAATAGGTTTAATACTGGTAGTGATCACCGACTTGTCCGGGGCTCTCTGAATATCAACTTTAAGGCGGAACGTGTCTGTTTGATAAAATCCAGGCTCCGACCGACTCTGCTCCAAGCCATGACAGGATCTGAAACGTTCCAGTCAAAACTGGAAAACCGATTCGCTGCCGTGGAAACCACAATCGACGTAAACCAGAACCTCGAAAATGTGGTTCGGATCCTCAGGGAAGAAGGTACGAGATTTTGTGAAATGCAGCGTAAGGGCAGGAAGTCGAAGCTTTCAGAAGGGACCCTAGGGCTGATGAAGAAACGACGTGAAAACCTGTCACTTTGTCGGCAAAGCGGACTCTAAACCGAGAGATCAGTAAACTCGTACGACACGACCTCCGGTGCTCCAATACTCTTTCAATTGAAAGAGCGATCGAGCAAAATCGGGGGTCAAAAGTGTTCGTACAATCTCTTGGAAGAAGCCACCTGAAAAAGTTGACCACAGAAAGTGGAGAAGTCGTTGCTTCGAAGCCGGCAGTCCTTTTGGAAGTGGAAAGCTTCTATGGCCGGTTATACGCTTCCCATGCATCTCGACCTGATCCCGAAAATGAGGACTCTAGAGCCACATTAACACGTCACTACACCGAAGACCTGCCAGAAGTTAGCATTGACGAAATCGAGATGGCTCTTGGACAGCTGAAAAATGGAAAAGCCCCTGGAGAGGACGGCGTTACAACAGAGCTGCTAAAGGCCGGGGGTAAACCTGTACTAAGAGAGCTCCAAAAGCTCTTCAACGCTGTCCTGTTTGAAGGGAGAACTCCGGAAGCGTGGAGTAGGAGTGTGGTCGTCTTGTTCTTCAAAAAGGGTGACAAGACCAGGTTGAAGAACTATCGACCCTTATCCCTTCTAAGCCACATCTACAAGCTGTTTTCGAGAGTCATCACGAACCGTCTTGCGCAAAGACTCGACGAATTCCAACCACCGGAGCAAGCTGGGTTTCGGAGCGGATATGGCACCATAGACCACATCCACACAGTGCGGCAGATTATACAGAAGACCGAAGAATATAATCAGCCCCTGTGTCTAGCATTCGTGGACTATGAGAAAGCCTTTGACTCGATCGAGATCTGGTCTTTTCTGGAGTCCCTGCAACATTGCCAAGTAGATTGGCGATACATCCAAGTGATGATACTCGTATGTCTCTACAAAGCCGCCACCATGTCCGTCCAAGTTCAGAATCAGCAAACAAGGCCCGTACCATTGCATCGAGGAGTGAGACAAGGGGACGTTATTTCCCCGAAATTGTTCACAAATGCAATGGAGGACATGTTCAAGACGCTGCACAGGAAAGGGCGTGGCATCAATATCAATGGCGAATACATCTCTCACTTGCGATTTGCAGACGACATCGTCATCATGGCAGAGACGTTGCAGGACCTACAGCAAATGCTGAATGACCTAGCTGACGCTTCTGTACGCATCGGCCTACGGATGAACTTGGATAAAACCAAGGTCATGTTCAACGAACATGTACTACCGGAACCGATTGCGGTACACGGTGCCGTTCTCGAAGTTGTTCAAAATTATGTGTACCTCGGGCAAACGTTGCAGTTAGGTAGAAACAACTTCGAGGACGAGGTGAACAGAAGAATTCGGTTGGGTTGGGCAGCGTTTGGGAAGCTACGTCGAGTCTTCTCATCGTCGATCCCACAGTGCCTTAAGACGAAAGTCTTTAATGAGTGCGTCCTACCCGTCATGACATACGGAGCTGAAACGTGGACACTTACGGTACGGCTGGTCCACAAGTTTAAAGTCGCTCCACGTGCTATGGAAAGGGCTATGCTCGGCGTTTCTCTAAGGGATCGCATCAGAAATGAGGTGATCCGGCAGAGAACCAAGGTCACCGACATAGCCTACCGGATCAGCAAGCTGAAGTGGCAGTGGGCTGGCCATATTAGCCGCAGAACCGACAACCGTTGGGGAAAACGAGTTCTTGAGTGGAGCTCGGTAAACGTAGTGTAGGACGCCCACAGGCCAGGTGGAGTGACGATTTGCGCAAGATGGCTGGCAGGAGCTGGATGCGAGAAGCCCAAAATCGATCTAAGTGGCGTGCAAAGGGAGAGGCCTATGTCCAGCACTGGACTGCGATAGGCTGATGATGATGATGATGATGATAACAGAAAAAAAGCCAAGGTTGTTTTATATAATTCTAATCACGTGTCACGTGTATTATATAGACACTATTCGGGGTGAATTGGCGGAACAGTTACAGCGCTAGTACCCGACTGAGTGTTTATATATTTTATTAAATTTATGTAGGTTTATGTATGCATGTGTGTTTTTATATTGTGTATGTATCTGGACCTAAATTATGTTAAATTTCATATTTTATTTTGCACCTACCGTGTAGCCGCTTTTCTTGTCAGGCGGACTACTCACCGGCCAACCCAGTGGAGAGATTTACGAGATTACCTCAGGGCGCCTTGTAAGAGAACAGAAGTGTGTGCGTGTGGGAAACCTACGGGATTCCTTAGAGGAAAACAACTTACACCTCAGTCATACATACATGTATATTTCAAAAAAAAAAAATTAAAGTTACAATAAAAAAATAAAAAAAATAATTAGTGGGTATAAGAACATCATATTTCTACATCACCTGAAGGTTAACTGGGAGAGAATGCCTAATGGCATTAAGTCCGCCTTTGTACAATATGTGCATTAAGTTTAAAAATAAATAAATAAATAACAGACTTGAAACATTTAATTCAGGGTTAATATTTTCCAAAACAAAAAGGACATTACGCAAGTTAAAATGGAATCAGCTGCTAAAGTGTACGGCATTGATTCGATTAACAAGTAAAAACTTAAATGACGTAAACAGTTTGTTGCTTAAATTTGGAGCCGAATTTGGAAGGCATGCACTTTACAAAAAATTGTATGCAAACAGAGCTTGTCTTTTTATTAGTTTATTGGAAAGGTGGAGTTCATGGGTGGGAGGGGTGATATATGAATATGAATATTAAGCAGCAATATCTTTAACATTTGCTTTACAAATTGTTCCGGTTCGTAAAAGACCCATAATACCAGCACACGCACACACAGAACACTGTGTAGAAGACTTAGGTTGGGAAATAGGGTCAACAGTACGTCATTGGTTTTGCAAAAGTTTAGAATGACTGTGACATGTAACAAATGCCAAAACAAAATCTTGCGGGCTTGTAGTCCGTGTCTGATAGACTATTGATTTTTAACTAAGTAAAACGTTGAAGTAAAATAATATTTTATTTTTCAGTTTTCAATGGAACCCAGACTCGTCAATTGCACGAGTTGCAGCAGAAGGATCGACCAGGAGTGGCAATACTAAAGGAGATCCTCGAGGATCGCTTACGAGAGATCAAAAAAGCCAAAACCTGGAAACATGAGAGAGTACTCACTTCACCGCAGGATGTCAAGGTAAAGAGCAAGTAATTCGTTTTATTAATGATGGAAATGATGAACATAAATATTTCTATCGCCTAATCGTATTTAACATCTATTTAATAATAATAATAAGTTATCATGAAAGATAGTACGGTTGACATCTGTCGGGCATGCCACCGTCCTGGGGAATCAATCAGACATATATTATTATTTCTGGTTGTTCTCGTCTCGCTAACGGTGAATATTTGCACAGGCACAACCAAGTAGCCAGGTTCGTACACCAACAGCTTGCCCTTAAATACCAACTTGTGAATCCAGAGGTGCCATACTACAGTTATGTGCCCGACCCAGTTCCCGAGAAAAGAAGCAATGATTTTTTTATTAGTAAAAAAATTGTTGCTTCCACGGATTCGACTTTTCTTAACTTTCGTCGGCAAATCTTCAAAAGGAAAGACCAACTCTGCCGACTGGCTTTTTCTGCTGACACAGAGCTGCGACACGGTGCTTCATCACCAAATGCCAATTGAAGTCTCTGGAGTTACTGTCTCTGGCTTAGCCGTTGGGATGACTAACCACTTGACGAACAGGCCAGTCAAATTTTTTTTTTTTTTTTAAAAAGACAACTCCCGCACTAGGAATAAATCCTGTGTCGCGGGGGACTTTACAAACATACATGAAACGGACACAAAGTACACCCAGACTCAGAACAACAATTTGTGGATCACACAAAGTGTTATCCCATGTGGGGTTTGAACCCACAACACTCAGCGCAATAGAAAGTGGCGTGGCGACCGCTTAAACCACTACGCCATCCGTGCAGTCTAAAAATAATAATATCTCTAATATGTGTATATACAATACGTACCGCCACGAGTGCAAAATCTACTACAAACGATTAATTGGAATCAAATACTCGTACTTATGATAAAATTCGTGTCTGTAATGTCTATGAATAGAATTGTTTTAAAGATAGGACTTAAACTAAAAATAAATAGATTGATAGCAATTTGCTCAGAATACTGCACAAGAAGTTTATTTAATTTAAAATACATATATTTTACATTTGAATGTAAATTAAATAGCAAGGTCTCAGAATTGACACATTCAAGCCGTTTTGAGTCTTTTGCCTCGGCAATTGAGTTCAAGGATAACAAAGCCATCTGAGCTCTAATATTTTTATTCATAACATGTATTAACTTTTATACAGAGATTCACTTACAGTCTACATATTGCTACATTTACGGAATGTAAACACATCGTCTTATATTCTGACGAAGCACAGATGTAGAGGTATCGTGCTGGTTTTGTATTACCGTCCGTTACCGTCTTTAAATCGGATAGGCCGACAGAGGTAGGGTAGTGGATGCTTTAGATCTCGGATGGTAAAAGGGACTAAAACTACAGTAGCTTGAAGAAGCTAGCGTACCCGTATGTGCTTCTTGTGCTTGGAGAGGTCACTAAGAATGGACATCACCAGGCCTAACATAAGAATAGTGTGTTGTATTCGTCACGGAGTGAACATGTACACACGCGTGGGCCCTATGCGAACACCTAGCTGTTTTCGTCAACATTCGTATTCTTTTCCTTAGAAGCGGACAAACTTACCGACAATAGGTCGATCGAGGCCAGCACTAACAATCGTAGCTCGGTGAATATCAAGCACCCATCCCCACTACTTGCTATTTATATTAACTACTTTAGTACGCAGGCTTTATAAAAATGAAAAAGATGCAGTACAAATAAATTACAACGCGTCAATTCAAATATAAAACGTATTGGTACGACTCATGTTATCTGTCTGGTCTGTCGCACCATGAAATCTGTTTGGTCATAATTCAGTTTCTATCTCCCATATCAACAGGAAAAAATACGTCGAAACACAGCTATGTAATTTAATACAAACACAAGTTTATACACTGTAGTATCATAGAAATTGGCCGAGTGACCTATTCATTTACATAAGGGAAACGGTAGTCTTTGCATCAATAAGGCTTTTTAACCCTCTGAGGGGCGATACAACAGTTTAAAAAAAATCACCTGTCAAAAATTTACCATTATAAAGTTAAGTACGGAAACATGAACAATAACAGAATGCTCAGGCAGTATGTTTATAATGTTTTTGATAAATGCGACCATTTTTCGACATAAAACTAAATCGTACCCCAGCGGTGTAAATGTATTTTAGAAATTTTATATTCGAAATTTAAATGTGACGATAAAAGTTAAACATCTAAAGAGCTTTATGTAGTTATTATATACAAAATTAAATGGCTATTAGTACCCGAGACGGCGTGCGGTTTTAGTCGGTTCGAGTCCGACATGCCACCGATAGGTGGTATCGGAGGGGATTTCCGCACGGAAAAAAAAGCATTACATTAAATTAAGAACAATAAAAGATTTTTACATTGTATAGTTTTAAAATCAGAACCAAAAGTCATACAAATCATTAAGTACTTAAAAATGCTTCAGGAAGAAAAAGTTAGCCACTTTGTACAGAAGTATTAAAAAAAGAAAAGAAAAAGTTAATGCAGTCTACTGAGATATATGTAATACCTTTAACAGGTATTACATTACTTATCTATACATTTAACCCCCTAATGGATAAGACCGCTGAAGCGTTACTATCACTTGCTGTAACAACTGCATAAATTTAAGCAGTTTTCCAGACAGAAGGAGGTACACTTTATATCGCGGTAAAATTAGAACTAATTGTTTTCTTTTTCAGGTTAAAATCAAGGGTTCCGAAAAAGAGTTCCTCAACTTCTGCGCCAATAACTATTTAGGTCTTTCGGTAAGTAGATATTAACTTACTTACTTAAACATACTTTACAGCAGTTTTTATCTACGCACAATATTTATACACAATATAATTATAGATTGTAGAGTCTATGAGTTAGAAGAGGTTCTCTCTCTCGATGTTCTTCCTCTTACCCCTAATTCTGGAGACGTTGATATTGGTAATTGTACCGCATAGGTTCATCTAGGTCGAAGTAATACAGGGTGTAATCTGCTACGCGGATGACACCTTACTCACGGCCCGGGGGGCTAATTTCCAGGACGCGGCGCGCCTGGCCGCCACGGCAGTTTCCCAGGTGGTCGGGCGCATTGAGGCGTTGGGATTACGGGTGGCCCTGGATAAGACGGAGGCCCTATTATTTCATGGGCCCCGTCGTGGTCTACCCGCCGGCGCCTCAATCGAGGTCGGCTCGGTCCTCGTACCGGTCCGGGCCCTGATGAGGTACCTGGGTCTGGTCCTAGACGGTAGGTGGCTCTTCGACGAGCACTTCCGACAGCTTGGTCCGAAGCTGGTGGACACTCCACGCGCCGGCTTCGCCGCCGTGGAGGCTCTCCAGCCGGTCATCGCCGAGTGGTCAGGGCGGCAGCACGGGACCCTTACCTTCCGGCTGACGCAGGTGTTCTCCGGGCACGGTTGCTTCGGAAAGTACCTGTACTCGGTCGCTAGGAGGGAATCGAGTCCCGACTGCCACCACTGCGACTGCAGTCAGGACTCGGCCCAGCATACGCTGGCGGTCTGCCCCGCTTGGGCGACGCAGCGCAGGGCCCTCACTGCAGTCATCGGAGCGGATCTCTCGCTACCGGCCGTAATTCGCTCCATGGCCGGTAGTGACAGTTTTTTACCGCGGTCGCAACCTTCTGCGAGGAGGTAATCTCGCAGAAAGAGGCGGCGGAGAAGGCTCGGGAGGACGACCTCCACTCGGACCCGATCCGCCGCCGGCGAACCGGGCGGAGGAGGCGCGCTCACCTGCGCCTCATGCCGCCCTGAGTGTGGCCGCGTGTGGACGGGATGGGTTCTCCCCTCCACCCGCATTAGTTTGGCCAGCCGCGAGGGGGCGGCGTCCGCGTGTGCCGGACGTCGCCTAAAGAGATGAAAATTTTGAGACGGAGCCCGCAACAGGAGCGGGCCGGCGCTGGGAGGGGTCCAGAAGGCGATAACTACCTGGACCCCTCCTAAACTGGAAGCGCAAAGAGGGTACACCGTGCGGTTCGAGTCCGACACACCGCCACGCCGAACGAGAGCCCCGGCGGGGTGACGGTCCGAGGGGATTTCCACACGTTAAAAAAAAAAAAAAGGTCGAGGTAATACAAAAACGTTACGTCAATTTCAAAATCCACCTTCTTTTGTGAGGTTCATGAGGTTTGTGAAACATACTTAACAGTCGTTGTTTCTTCGCAGAATCACCCTGAAGTTGTCGAGGCTGCAAGGGAATCTTTGAAAAAATATGGAGCTGGCCTCAGTTCTGTGAGATTTATTTGTGGAACCCAAATTTTACATAAGGCAAGTAAAAATTTACTGATTGAGTTGTTCGCCAGGTGCATGATGAAGTAGGCACCAATGCAAACAAAATGATCACTTACACTTAGAGCGTTCTGTTTTGGGAAGCACTCCGAAGAATTATTTGGACACACCGGCCGCTGCGTTCCATTGTTGCTCCTTCAATGTGACAAAACTACCATCCCCTCCCTTGGATAACTGGTACGTGGAGTAAGTACCAGTTATCCAACGTGCGGTTTTTTAGAAACTTGTTACCAAAATTACAAAAATGAGGTTTTGTTGAAACCTTTTTATAGGTTTTTTTTTAATTACATTACGTCAGTATTTGTGCCATCGTTTAAACAATATACTATTACGCACTAAGTGTAATACATTTATTTATTTATTGGATCCCCAACAAAGGATATACACAATAGTACATATATTACACACATAGTTGTACACACGCACAGTGTACTCCTTCAGTTATAGGAAACCACAGCATGCACTAGAACATCTAAGCTTAAACTAAATAATAACACATTTAGTAGTGTTAAAATGTAATAGAAAATTGCTTGGTACAAAAAGGCAGGGCTTGAAACTTTAGTAAAATAAACAATAGATGAATTGCATTTTAGACGAGTAGAATTCAGGAAGATTTGCTTTTTGGACGACAATTCGTCGATTTTTTTTGGGCAATTTATTTTTTACGAAGGGCTTTATAACAGTGAAGGCCCAACGATTTATTATCTCTTTGAGGCATAATGGTGATCTCAATAAAATAAAAAAGAAATCAAAACCTACCCACGTACGAGAACACTACTAATAAATACTTTTGTCATTACAACAGGCATTGGAAGACCGTTTATCTCAGTTCCACGGTCGTGAAGATACTATTCTATATGGTTCGTGCTTTGACGCCAATGCGGGTCTATTCGAAGCTATTCTGACACCGGAAGACGCCGTCTATTCCGACGCACTAAATCACGCTTCAATCATAGACGGCGTTAGACTGTGTAAAGCAAAGAAATTCCGCTATCCGCACAGGGATATGAATGGTATGTTAACTTACACACACACACACACACACACACAGTGTTTAGATGAAATAAAAACCAATTGTGCGCCCTGTTCAAGGTTTTAACTCGTGTATTGAACAACTTTAATAAGTTATATGTATAATAACTTTAAACGAGACATTCTTGTATATGAATATTTATCAGATTCCATATGCCTCGACAACATTAAAGAAGCGATTTTACAAACAAAATGGCGAAGTTCGGTCGTTTGGGTAGATTTTATATTCCATAATATTATATGCATACAAATATTTTAATAAAAGGTATGAGTTTTATTTCTCAACTTTTGATTTGATGTTTATACATACACAAATACATTACATAATATTATATCTTTCCGCACAATAAACTAGTACCTATACATTTTGCGTCTTATACACATAGGTTTAGTGCTGAAATGTACCGCTAACGCCTACGCGCTCGTCATTGCAATATATACTCGTACAGGTATGCAATATGAATGGACATAGCAGGTCGTTTATAAATCGAAGTATAAACTGATGTTACATTGCTTATAACCTTCCTTATCCTCAATAAACTTTTAAGGGTTTACAAGCCAATATTACCATAGATGTATTCAAGTCTAAGTAACGCGGGTTTTTAGTAAATGTAATTTAATTTGTCTACAGAACTTGAACACATGCTGGCACACAGTGAGGCTCGAGTGAAGCTCATTGTGACAGACGGCGTGTTCTCCATGGACGGCAACGTAGCGCCACTGAAGGAATTGAGGGAATTAGCTGATAGATACCGCGCTATCTTGGTAGTAGACGACAGTCATGCAACTGGGTTCTTTGGAGAGACTGGCAGGTGACTAATGCGTACATAATACACAAATATACGACTTCACTTGCGTTGAATTGATTTTATCACCATGGTCATTTACACTTTATTAGTTATTATAAAAGGAATTCGGGCATTTGTTGATATTTCATCATTGTTAAAAGCGCTATGATCATGGATGAACTGAGTAACTGCGGGTGAAAAGTTTTTTTTTTACGAGCAGACAAATTTAGTTTCACTACTACCACTGTTCTCACTACTGTCTCGAACTCGAACACGACATACAAAACGATTTGTAATTGTATTTTATATTTTGTTTGTGTAGAGACGTACCACGGGCCCAGTTCACTTGCGTTAATGTATATTTCTCAATATAATATAACGGACATGTAGGTACTTATCATTTTTTAGAGAACAGGTGGAAAGACCCTGTTTACTACTCTTGACAATGTGTTTACATATTTGGTAACGGTCGAATTAGTAGTTAAAGTGTAAAAGCATGCAAAATAAACATATTTACCTAATTATTATTTTTATGAATGATTTAACCACTGACGTAGGGACGTCCTTTACTGTTGATGATTAGAGTAACCACGTCCACACACCAGTCATTATCGAAATACGTTATCAATTTACGAGTACTAAGTAGGTACATATAAACTCTATGCAAATTGAACAGTTTTCCTTAAATAATACAAATTCCATTAAGAACACAAATATTGATTGGTCGTTCAACGACGCCACTACAAATAATACCGACATAAAAAGAAACAAAAAAATTATTAAAAAGTTTCATTAATGCGCCTACACCATGATCTACTTAATAATAATGAACAGTTGTTTTAACTAAATAATAAACCAATATAATATGAATTATGTATATGTATATGTATACATGTATGTATATTTGTATTTATGCGTATGTAGGTATATAATAATGATGGGAGGGAGGTAGCGTCACCTACCGTCTGACGCGAGGAGACGGCACAATGCCAGCACTGCGGAGCCGACTGGGACTCCGCCCAGCATACGCTGGAAGACTTGGCTTTGTCAGTATTATTAGAAGTCGGTTCAACTTCTTTTCATAAGGCTTTAGGAATAAGGATTTTTATATTCTTTTTAAATAAATAACGAATTATAATATAAATAATTCAGTTTATTTTTTCGCTTTTCAGTATTTTAGGTAGGAAGTTTTTGTTTAATGGTTTTTTTTTAAATCGGTTAATTTTTTTTATAAAATTGCTTATTTTTTCCATTTTTAGTGTAACTAATCATAGGCACGTCTTAAGTTGAACTACTTCATATAAGTCGGGAGAGGGGTAGCAACCTACGGATAACGACCACCATTAAATGTTATTCCTGCTGATGTGAATAAACGCATAAAATAGCGAAACTGGGCATAGGCTCCAGAGTTATGTTGAGACGCAAAATTTCTGTTACCAAAGGGCCTAGTCCAAGTATCTTGTCCAAGTTTAAATGGCCTGCCTTGCGCCGTGAGTTACTTGATTCAGTTTTTATAACATTCTTGCTATACCCTTCCTTGCTTCGCTGTGGCACATTGTGGTAGCAAAAAATAGATAAAAACCATCTTTGAAGCAAGTTATATATAGTCGGGTACTCACTAGCGAGCTGTAATCGTAACGATGCATGTACTGTAACCAAAAATCATAGTGGGTACGTGGTTTACAAACCTGCTGCGAGCGGTACATTACAAGGTACTCATTCTGTTACCGTACATACATAAAAAAATACATACAGTGGAACATAGAGCTTCCTTCTTTTTGAAGTCGGTTAAAAAACTCTGCGATGGTATATGGCTATCTCCTAAGGATAACCCACATTAACCATTTTTATCTTTTATCGTCCCGGGTGGCAGCAGCAGGCAGGATCGGAGCGGGCCTATAAATATTGCATATATATAAATATTGTTACATTCCTATCATAATAATAGTTTAATTAATTACTCCACATTGACACCACATTAGTAGTATTATCATCTACATTGCACCCGTACGAAGCCGAGGCGGATCGCTAGCAGTTAAACCGCTCTGTACGGCCCGACGGCGACGGCGACGGCCAATTTGCCCCCGCATTTTAAACCTCAAATATATTTTAAAATATTTAGTTTAATGACATGCCCCAAAGAGCAATTTTAATCTAAATTAAACGCAGAACGTATTTAACCTATTTAATTGGATAAGGAATAATAATGTATTCTTTAAAATAGCTACGTAACACAGCCATTTTATTTTGTAAAATTTAAAAAATAAAAATGGTTACTGTGGTTTATCCTTAAGAGATAGACCTATACCATCGCAGACTTTTTTGTAGATCTTTTTAAGATATTTTATTAAATTCCATACTACATTATTTTGGTCTATTTGAAATTCTCGGATTTTCTCTACTATAATAAGCATGCATTATATATAGGTATAAACCTTCCTCTTGAATCACTCTCTCTATTTCTGAAAACCGCATTAAAATTCGTTGCTTAGTTTAAAAGATCTAAGCAAGTACGTGCGTGCTATAGCAAATAGCGTCGGGAAAAAGTCTTGTTACACATTTTTTGGTCTAGCTGCCATCCGCTCAGAGCATGTAACGCGCGATAAGGAGCTTCGTTCCAATAGGATCACGGAATTTATAATTTATGTATCTGTAGTTCTGATGTAAATTTCCATTCGGCTGGTTCACTCTAACCTTGGCAAGGCGAACTCTTCTATTTCGAGGTTATTAATCTTCCCACCTAAATAATAAAAAATATGTTATTCATTACTCTTTGTAAAAGCGCATAATTCTGTAAAACATTAATACAAAAAGTTTTAAAGACAAGAGATTTTTATAAATTACATTTAGTCTTCTTTATAACTCCTCTTTAATGAAATAATACAATGGATATACATTGCAGAGGGACGGAAGAATATTGCGGCATGTTGGGTCAAGTGGATATCATCTGCTCGACGCTCGGCAAGGCTGTGAGCGGGTCGTCCGGTGGGTACACCACCGGGCCCAAGGACCTGGTGACACTGCTGAGGAACGTTTCCAGGCCCTATCTGTTTTCTAACGCACCTTCTCCTCCCACCGTAGCTGCTTCTTTAAAGGTATTTGTTGTTGTTCACCTCTTGTTTTGCGAGTTATTGTTATTGTAGTCGTCCGCATGGTGGTCATTATTGTTGATAGCAAATATAATTATACTGAGAGTTTGAAATCGATATGTTAAAAAGAAAATTGTTTCCCATACACGTTTGTATGGGAAACAATTTTCTTTCTTTCAACACCACTTCTTAGGAGTAGTTTTGAAAAATTTGCAACGATGTTTTTTTATTACTTTTCATAAAGAGTATTTACTGTGAGTTTGATGGATAATCCGGTATGGTACGGATACCATGATCGGTCGACATATTGAAGTGTCAGGTATACCCCGTTGTTTCACCCCTCCCCTTTTTGAACTTTCAAATTGGATAAAATCAGATGATTGTGTGAATAAGAAGATACTAACCCGTTCTGGGCCACAGTTATTTATATATATTTTAATAACATCTAGTTTAAATGAACTTTACCAGTTGATTTCCAACCGATTGTTCTCATATCTCATTTTGGAAAATTACTCTTAACTTTATGGCTATAGGGGAGAGTAACCTATATTGGGCTTCTTTTGACATAATGGCACATATAATCGAAAGTTTTATAGCTATGAGAATGAAACATGGCTCAAAATATAGCTTAATTAAGTAACTAGGTAGTATCCATCTGTTGTTATCGAAGCATAGTCGCAACTAATAAGAAATCATTATTTTTTCAACTTTATCGTTCAGTCGAATTTACGCAACCGGTATCTTAAATTGGACCACCATGATCCTAAATTGTACCTAACCTTTACCCTAACCATATTTCATTTCATTATCATTTTACTTAAAAAAGTCATTGAATATCTTACTTAATCAATGTCTTTTTAAAGAACAATTTTAGTTAAGAAAGTCTTTGGATATCTTACGTAATAATTATATCTTAACAATTAAAAAGTCATTATATGCTAAAAAGTATCGAAATACTCAACAATAATACTTCTACTAAATATGATAGTAATATTATTAATTTTAGCAATCATCACATATGTAAGGGTTTGTGGTACAGGTTAAATGCAGCCATCTCTTTCTCCGCACGCCAACTGGGGTCCATTTTTGTCAATAGTGATTACCGCACGAATCACACACATTTTCATCCTTTTCATCTCGCCGTCATTCAATTGGATTACAACGTTAGAATCACTTGAACTACTGGTAATTAACCTTTTTCGCTTCGGAGTCTTCTTTCTTACTACTTCCTTCTTGACCACTTCTTTTTTGCACGTTGCACCTTACTGTTTTGCTTGGATTCTTTCTTCTAGAGATATCTTGTACGGGGATGAAGTTATTTCAACAGTTTATTGTACAGCAGCGTATCAATTCATTCCTTAACTCCTTTGAGTTCCATTAAGGGCGTCGGCTGCTTCAAACATGTGTAATGGAAAGACATTTCTGCAAACTCCAACTTTCAACTCCAGCACGGCCAAATCCAGTTGTCACATTACTAATAGTAGCTGCTCGTTCGTAGGCTTTCCCAACAATCTTGCGATTTGATATTGAGTAACTTACCTGCCCGGATTTGTTCGAAGCCATTTCTCATTTTCTTGTAGGTAATAAGTGTTTGATGGCTTAAAAAATGGCACATCTAACGGTTGCAGTTGATGTGTAGTATGTCCACGAAGTTGCAACATAATTAACCCATCTTCTTTTGCCAGAATTGGCGCCCTAAGATTCTTCGTATGGGTTGTATGCCCGTCTAACAGAAGCAACACCTTTTTATCTTGTATTGGCTTTACAGTGGCAATAAAATGCTTAAGTCGCTCTACAAATAAATCCGAATTGATAAAGCATAGAACAATCGCTTACTTGAAAATCTTTTTTCTCTATTAAAGTGATGAGAGATTTTGTTGTATACAGCGATTTGGTAGGCTAAGCGCCGCACATTAGTAATCGTTAAGCCAAACATGTTGCTTTCCACAAACAAAAGATGCTCTATAAACTCCTTTTCCTATTCAAATGAGAAGACTGACGGTCTTTCTTTATGTCTAACATCATCATAAGCAATTGCTTATGATGATGTTTTATAAAGAAAATTTTGACTTAATAAAATTTTATTAAGCTGTTTAGCATGACGCATATAGTAGCTTTTGGCACCTGATACTGTCTGGAAATGGCATTAGGTAATACCCATTTCTTTTTTCTTATATGCCGACAACGCCCTTTCTAAATCTTCTGTACTCCATTTATAATATTCCTTTTTTACTCTTGTCATCAGTCGCCATTTTATAGAATCACTATTTATCTGTAAATTATATGAATTTTATTTAAATTTAAAACCAGTGGTTTCATAAATTGGACCGGTACAATTTAGGAAATAAATAGTAAATCAAATTTCAGAATTTACAGTCAAACAGAGCAAATAGATTTTTTTTCTTCACAATAATTTTGTTACTAGTGTAAAAAAATAGTGTCACTTTGGTAGAAATACAGAAGTGGTCCAATTTAAGCGCCGGTTCAATATTGGTTAATCTCCCCTAGCTACTTGCAGCAAATTGGGTCAAATCATTACATTATTATAACAATACTAAAAATGATGTTCAACTCGTCAGTCCTTAGAACTGATACAACACAGCGGGGAGCTCCGACAGCGTCTTCAAGAAAACACGAGGGCATTCCGTGGAGGAATGAAAGCTGCAGGACTATCGGTGGCCGGAGATGATCATCCAATCGCTCCTGTCATGGTGGGTGAGGCGCCGTTAGCTGTGGAACTTGCACGTGGAATGCTTGGTAATAATAATATGTTCAATTACAGCTTCATTTTGAATGTCAGTTAAGTAAATAACCTACAAAAACTAACAATTTAAAAAAAATGAGTCATCGCGGGACGTCTGGCAGGTGTGTAACAATTATTGGCCTCAGCGTTTTACTCAAAACACGACACGCCTAAGAATTATCGTGATTAATCTTCTTTGGGCTGATTTATCTAAATAAAATTGATGTTTGCGAAAGCTGAAGAAAGAATATATATAAAATGAATATGACATAGAATGTGTGTGTTTCAGAGCGCGGCATATATGTGGTAGCGTTCAGTTACCCGGTCGTGCCGAAGGGAGGCGCGCGCGTGCGCGTGCAGCTCAGCGCTGCGCACGAGCCGCTGCACGTACAGCGCGCCGTCGAGGCCTTCGCTGACGTTAGCCGCAAAATCGGCATTGTAAAGACATAGACGTTTCTTGCGTTTTTGATCTAACGTATGTTAATCTACTTAAACGTCATTTTATTATGTTAGTGGTAATTTCGTGCTAATCCTTCGATGCTCCTGCTATTCGAACCTTTAGAAACTTTAAACTCATCTCTGTATGAAGCTTTATATTTGTAAATACAGTTGACTGCTTTATTAAATGTTGTGAATTTTTAAAATTAAAAGACGTAATAATTGTTAATTTGTTTTTAATTTATTCAACGATGCCTTTGTTGGCAATCTGGTACTTACCAGACTTACTTACTTAATTGCAATATGATAAGTTCTCGTAATAATATTCGCAATCAAACCAAAAACAACTTCAGCAATAGTAGAATGCTTAGATAAATATAACTATTATTTAAATGTTTAAAAAAAGCAAGTAATTGTTCAGTTAGAAATGTTTGAAACCCTTTTTAAACATCTTATCGTTGTGCACAGCGTAGCATAGAAAGATTACTCTTATTCTTCAGTGGATGCTTTAACGCTTCCATCTTATGTAATACCAGACATGGTCTACGCGTTGGCATAGTTTTCCATATACAAGAGGACCGAATCATGGACATAGCCTAGTATAAACTTCTGATGGCAACTCGTAGGAACTTTATAGTCTACTGCTGGACATAGGCCTCTCTTTAGAAAAGTTTTGGCGTACTATACCCGCTGGTCAGATGGTTGGTATAAGGTTTGTGTTCTCTCTTAAAATATAGGCTAAGAATAAACAATTAACTAGTGTTCCCGACCTGACTGTTAACAGCTAAAGAGTAACGCTTTAGTCCATTTTATTAATTACAAAGTTCCATAGATTATATTTAAATTCTTTTATTTTTAAGATTTAGTAATAACGCCACCTTAAAAGAGTACAAAATCAATTGGCGTTAAGAAGTAATTACGGTCACCAAAATCATATTTCTTGTTTCTCTTAGTTTCTTTTACTATTAGTCTTTCTTTCCTTTTATATTACAAGTGCACGATTTAACATCTCTAAAAGTTGGTACGGACAGTGCTAATTGTCCTCGGTACTATACAAAATATCCTTATAGTTTAGTAGATAAAACTCATCATCAACAGCCTTTTATAGTCCACTGGTGGACATAGGCCTCTCCTTAGAAAGGTTTTTGTCTACTAGACCACTCTGGCCATACGGGTTGGTATACAAGACGGAGGCCCTATTGTTCCATGGGCCCCGTCGTGGTCCCCTCCCCCCGGCGCCTCCATCGTGGTCGATTCAGTCCTCGTACCGGTTCAGGCCCAGACGAAGTATCTGGGCCTGATTCTTGACGGGAGGTGGCTCTTCGACGAGCACTTCCGACGGCTTACTCCAAAGCTGGTCAGCGCTGCTTCTGCCTTACAGTGACATTTGCCCAATTAAGGTGGAGCCAGCGTCACAAATAGACGGCTGTACCCGGGGGTTGTCAGGTCAATGGCACTGTACGGTGCACCGGTGTGGGCGGTGGCTCTGACCGCCCAGAATAGGGCACGCCTCAGGCGCCCTCAGAGAACTTGATTGAGAGCAAATTGAGAGGCGGTAATAAAACAAACTTCATTATGTAATAATAACCGATCTATTAACAATAATTTATTACAAGTAATAAAACTCACACTCGTATTGACAACATCACACACAGTGCGTCATGACTACGCGTCATATTTAAACTAACAATTATAATTAAATATTTACAGTCAATATAGCTACACCTCTCTCTTGGCGCCATTATTGCATTGGTGTATTCTCCTTGCATATACCAAATAAAATAAACTCCGTACCCCATAGATAAAAAGAAAATAATGAGCTTGCTTTAAAACTCTTAGCACAAGTAGAAACACTAAACATGTATTTAAAAAAATCCATGTACGCAAACACTAATATTTACACATTTGGATTTTAGTGTAAGAAATAATACCGAAACATTGTATGGCCAATTAAAATCGCCGATATAAAACCAAGTTATCGCAAAGATTCGAAGTCTACAAAGTCAAGTCGGCGATCAGGATCGAAGTCGATTCAATTCAATCTGTTAAAAAACAGTATCCTTAATATATTTGGAGGGTATTCTTTGTGTACTTATCTCATAACGTCTATACATCGTATTTTCTTTTGTTTGGTTTTTAGTTTGGACGTATTTTGAGATAAGTCTGAGCATTTGTATCGCTTCCTTTAAGGTTCACGAGTTAGAAAATAGTGGGTTGTTCTTTCATTGTAATACGGAGGGTTTCCCTGAAAAAAAGAGAACACGAATTGTTAAAAGGAAAAGGTGTATGTATATCAAATAATGTATCAATATTGTTATTGGAGAATTCGTAAAATAGTTTAGCATTTTTTTCAATTTTTGCAACCATCGGTAAGGCTTCGTATTGTTCTTAATGTTCCTTCAATTATACATACTGTTACGTGAATAAATGATATTTTAATTGCAATAACAAATAAACTAAACATGTACTATGGTAACCAGACTGCATATAAAAATGCTTATTTATTACTAAATACACACAGTAGATATATTTAAATTTTTTCAACGGCAAAGTTCAAACCCCCATATCACAATTACTTTAAATTGTGATATGGGGGTCTAAGGTATCACTTCATTTTGGAAAAGGGGTCTCTTGCCCAAAATAGTTTGGGAACGCTTACCTGGCGGTGACGCGGTGACAGTGGTGGTGGAGTTGGCTGGTGGCGGCGCGCTGGGGGCAGCACCCGCTGCCACTGGTGGTGCTGCGGGCGCCGCTGTGCTCACGGGCTTCTGGAAATATACAAAATAATAAAAAACAACGTTCTTGCCTCTTGAACGCGGTCATGGACTTGTGGGGCTCACACCCCATATATACATACATACATACATTCACACTTATTACCTATACACATAATATTTATATTTAATATATTAAGCATACACAAACGTACTAACACGCGTGCAATAGGCGGGGCTTACGCCTCCTACCACAACGGCGACGCGCGGGCGCACCGGCCCTTGTATCCCGCGGCAGTCAGCTTATCGCTCCCGCTATGCTACCCTGTGTCGCTCGCTATCTTGACGCTCTGTGGCATCTACCGCGCACTGTATTAATTGTTATAATTTTTTCTTATACTTTGTTTCCGAGCTTTGAACTGTTTATAGTGTTTCTTCCATCTTCTTATTATATTGCTTGACTTTACCCTTCTGTTCTTTGTGCTTGTTTTACTTAACTGGTGATTCGTGAAATAAAAACATTTGTGACCTGTACTGGACCTTTTCTTGGACTTGTGGTATGTGAACATTTTTACTTTTACCTAACACACTACAGACTCAATATTACACTTGAATCCCACTGGTGGTTTATGGATACTTGGTATTACTCTCCTGTTAACGTAGATTTTTTTAACAGGCTAAAAGGTAACAATAGTTTGGTAACAATTCAGTTCAAATCAACTCTCGATCTTGCTTCTGTCATAAAAGGTATATTGGTAATAATGTAGTAAAATATTACTAAGACTAACCGATAACCGATTCAGTTTTCGGTTACAATACGATCTTATCATATTACAGTCAACGTTGAATACTTTACTACGAAAATACCTTGATCGGAACTGAATTGTGACCGAACCTATATTACGACGATTTGCCTTTCGGTTATTAGTGCGAAGTACTTGTGATTTTAATGAAATTGAAACTAATAGCGAATATGGTTTTCAAACAATAACAACTTGGAAATCTATGAGTGAAGGTGCGTGTTATTTACAATTCACACACATGTCGTACAATAATATACTTACCGGAATAACACATGTAAACCTAAGGAGGAATTTCGTGTGCCGTGTGTACTTTTTTGTGGATGAAAGGAACCCCTACCTCTTTTTATCACCGGTTGAATATTTAACGCATAAAAACTTTCACAATTTAATCAAGAAATTTCCAGATCATATTGGTGATGGATCATAAAGGACAATCGGATCAGTGGATCAATCGGTGAGAGAGTCATTACCATGATAATAATCGTGTCACATCCAACAGATGTGCAACCGTAAAAGTACTTTTTACACTCGTAACAGATCTTTTGGCCTCGATCGCCTTCAAATTTGACTATAGCTTTTCTGGAATTGAGAAAGCTCTATCCACTAATACCTAACTGTTTTACGTGTTTATCTCAATTATTTTTCATTTTAAAAGTATATGCACTTGCACTGCGTAGGTAACCTTTGGGTGATGCAGAGAAGTTAGGAAGCAGGTGTAAAAAAATAATATTATCAGCTAAGTATTATAAACTTAGGTACTTACACATATAGATATACGAACGTATTTGTATACATACACGTAAATAAATAAAAAATGTATAAACACTTATATACATACCTATACACAAATACATACACATATACGCATTGGATTACTAGGCATGCCTTTTAAGTTCTGTCGTTTCCATATTTCCGAATTTGGAACTGCTCTATATTCGAATGTATTTAAATTTTGAATCTCAAAACAGTTGAAAGTATTAGGATTAATGCTATTGTTTAGTCACAGCGTCGATTGGAATCTATCAGGTTACGTACGAAAATGAATCTTTCTAAGGAAAATGTTCGTGCAATAATTTTCTACAACTTTAGAAGAGACCTGACACGGCTTCAGTGTTTTGAAGATCTAACATCTGTGTTCGGTGATGAAGCCCCATGTCTGCGGACTGTCGAACGCTGGTATTTAGAATTCGTGCGTGGACATACTAGTGTTAGTGACAAATCTCGCGAAGGACGCCCAAAATCCGCCTTCACTGAAGAGAACATCATTGCTGTGAGACAACTAATTCTCGAAGATCGTCATGTGACGTATCGGGAGAAAGAGGCTCTATTATGCATCTCAGGAACAACCATTAAGAAGATCTTGCATTAAACGCTTGGTGTGAGAAAGCTACTCGTAGTTTGCCGTTGGATACCGCATCTGTTTTCCGACGATCACAAGGCGGCCCGCGTCAGTAGGTGTAAGAAAACTCTGCAAGGTTCAACCGAGGAGAGTCAAATCACGTCTACGACATCATCAGTGGTGACGAATCTTGGATCTATGCCTACGCTCCTGATTCCAAACAACAATCTACAATCTGGGTCTTTCAAGACGAGCCAAAGCCGACTAAAGTTGTTCGTTCTCGAACCACTTCAAAGAAGATGGTGGCCACGTTCGTTGGAAAAACCGGCCATGTTGCGCCTATTGCACTTGAAGATCGTAGAAAGGTTAACGCAGAGTGGTATACCACAGTTTGTTTACCACAAGTCATCGCCGGACTTCGAAAATCTAACTCAAAGCGACGCATCATCCTGCACCACGACAACGCAAGCTCACACAGCGCTCGTCAAACGATTGAGTATTTGAAGCAGAAAAAAGTAACTCTTGACCATCCTCCATACAGTTCTGTTCTAAGCCCTAACGATTTCTTTACATTTTCTAAAATTAAGAAAAGTCTTCGTGGTCAAAGGTTCCAGTCCGGTGAAGAAGCAGTCGACGCTTTCAAGTCAGCCCTTTTGAACACCCCCACATTAGAGTGGAATAAATGTTATATTAACTGGTTTGAGCGAATGGAAAAGTGTATTAAGCTACGTGGTGAATACTTTGAAAAACAATAAAGAGTACTATAAGGTTCTAGTTGTGTTTCTTGCTTCAAACGACAAAACTTAAAAGGCATGCCTCGTATTATCAAATGTTAGGACACAAATGATTTGAAATCACTACCAATCATTGTAAATTATTTCTCCTGAATCATTAAATATAACCTGAATGGTCCTCCATTAAAAATTTGAATGTTTTCATATCGTCATATCAACGTTAAATATAAATGATTTGACAATAGTTAGGTATCGCGTCTGTCATTTAATAAAAGATACAGACTTGACTTTTCAGTATTCTAATTATAACGTTTAACAAACACGAGCAAACTGTACTATTGCATGCATACGACGTGTGATAAAATATCCAGCTACATACATACATACCTACTATATACCTTTCTAGAAAAAAAATTGCTTAAAATCAAGTTTGAATACTTATTCAATCAATTTAAATTCAATGACACTGTAATAGAAGGGAAACAGTTTAACTTCCGTGGAAAGGCCGATAGGTTAGATGACTCAAATGAAATACCTAGTTACATTTTAATGGACTGACTGTATTTACATAAGTTATGTAGAATAACCAAAGAACAAGGCATAAAATATATTTGGAAATTCTTTTGGAAAGACATTATACACATATTGTTATTTTAAAATAATATCCAAGAACCAGTGCAGTTTGAAAGTATTCCCCTCTAGACAGGTACAATTACCAAAAAAATCCGGTAAATTCCTAGTATTGGAACGATTTTTTTTAAAGATTCAACTATTACGAATTGATTGCAACAAAAATTTTAAGAAATTATTGTCAGCTAAGGTGTCAAAAACGGTAAAAATCAATTTTCGTGTTTGGAGTTGAATGTACCAAATGTGTAACAATAAAAAAACAGAGAATGAACCTTTGGTGAGCAAAATCGGACCATTAGATCGCCCGAAAAAAAAACGTGTTTTTTTTTTTGCAAAACTTTGAAAATTAATTATTCGCGTTCGGGAAGTGGTAGAGAGCTGAAATTTGGATATGTTGTCAGTGTTGTAGTCCTGTAACTACAGTTAAATTTTTAGGTGAAAATGTTTTTGGTCAAAACATTTTTTGCAAACCTAAATTTGGTGTTTTTTTTTTTTTAAACTTTATAATTTCGGCACCTATGTATTGAGGAGGAGTTTATCTACGAATATCGAAATTTTCAGATCAATTGATAAATTTACATTTGTTTAAATAGTACAGGTTCTTATAGCGCGCGTGGCGGCTGCGCGAATGGGAGGGGCAGCCATCGTAGTCCAGTCGATGTAGCTCTGAATTTGCAAAAAATTGATGACCAAGGGTGCCTTGATATTTACTCAATAAAGACAAACATAACGAAATACGATTTATCAAAATCGGTTCAGCAATAGTTCCTTTCCGTTCGTCGGTTAAGTAATTAGGAGGGAACATAGAATGTTACATTTTTTTTTTATAAGGTTGTATTTAAATGGATAGTGAATGAACCACTCACGATACGTAAAAACCACAATCACTTATTTCACATAAATATATTATTAAATTACGTACGTAATTCGTCACAATATCATATATTTTAACGAAATATAAACATCAAAGATTTTTTGTATATTAAAATCCCTAGCACTGCAGTCGTATACAAGACTTATCAAGAATGGTGAGACTAAACAATTTACTGCGCTTAAAATATTACTAAAAATATCATAATCTTAAAATATTTAATTCATATGTGGAAATTTGGCTATAGAGCACGACAAAGTATTGGACGTTCATATATATTTGAACGTCTAATACTTTGACATGCTCTGAAAAGCTCTCTGAGAATATATCCTCATAAAACATTAATCTACTTCGGATAAAAGACCAAAATAAGATATTAGCTGACTACGGAGATTGGATACTACAACTGCTATTTAGCAGTGTGTACAGTAATAATTTTATTACTGTAGTCTTACAATGACCTTGTAGTAAACAAAAATGTTAATACAATACAAAAAAATTAAATGCTGTGTACTATTTATCTGAAGAAGGTAAAATGTAGTTTTCCTTATCATTTTTAAATATTCCACATCCCACGAAGGACAGCAACATAACCTCGGAACTGATCAATTATTCTGAAAGACTAAACCTAGGTCTCACTTACGCTGATTTCCTGTATTCTCTCCTCTAATGCGACAAGTTTTGACGTGAGCGTGTTGTTCAAACCAGCAAATTCTGATCTGATGTCGTCATTCCTCTTGAAGTTGGCCGTGACGTTGGCTATCGTGTCGTTGGTCTTGGCGTCGAGTTGATTCAGCAACGTGCGGACCTCCTCGACGCCAGCCACTGCTAAGTGCGCTTGCTTTGTATTTGATTGTACTGTACTATCAAAGCCGCTTATCTGAAAATATATATCATTTAAAAATAAGAACCTTCTGTCATGGTAGTCTCTGAGTGTATTGAATTTGATTTGACGGGTAATATAGTTAAATATTATCATGCGAATTTATATATATGACTAAAAAAGGCCAAACGTAATGTTCGTAAAGAGGTGCTAGTTGCCATTATATTAGTTGAAGAAAATCACAATATTTATTTTTTCATAATGTTTCCCTCTATTGAGACCTCAGCAGAACGATAGACTTATTACAGAGAAGTAAATTTAATTTTTTAATACTAACTCGTTAATTTTATCATGCTCATAAAACATACACATCGTTACACAAGCAAATGGCGATTCATTAATGCTTTGTTAGGTGTACAAATGTGCCACATAATTGCCATATACTTATTTTCATTTTGTAAAAGCATAGATTACATGCACTAAGGCAACTGATAAAAAGAAGGATGTCCTAATGCTTCTTTAATTAACCTAACTCACCGGAAAGCATTTGAGATAGCGATCAGACAATCTATTGACCCAGTTTCAAGCATATGATACCACAATGCGCTTGTGACACTCACACGAAGGTATTGTATCAATCGTATCTCCAACTAAGGGATAACGGCCAAAAAATTGATGAAAGAGATAGTGTAATACGAACTGATATTGCTGTAGGTATATTTATATTTAACTTTATGCACTTTACTTAAGACACGAAAACAATGCGTAACTGGTTTTATAACAGGCGTCCTGTAGATGAAGCTGTGATAAATAAGCCAGAGAGCAAACACAGAGGTACAGGTTACTCTAGTCATCATCACAGCGAGGTCAATCTTTGTCCAACAGGGACCAAGTCTCCCTGGGTTTACAGGTTTTTATTCGAAATGGATATAGGGTATCTTTTCTATAGAAAAGTACTATTCAAGGGGGATAGCAAAATATATTTGCGAGTTACTATGCAATGCAAACTACGAGTAATAATGAAGACGTTGGAGATGCGGTGTGAGGTCTGATGTTCTTTAAGGTAATAACAATAACTTTATTTTTGTTCTCTCACACAGACTGATATATTAGGTAGGTTAAACTAGCAGTAGTAATTAGTATCATTACATTATATCTATGTGAGAGACTGGTGTCTGTACTCGGAGACATAAAGGTCAAGAAGATAGCTCGAGTTACACAGACAAGAGGTACTTGATTAGCTCTAAAAATGTAACTTGTTATTTTTATTTAGATTTACATTTATTACATTATATTACTTGTACACTGCATATTATTACGCTAACATCAACATATACGCAATTGTTACATAATTATTAGGTACTTAATTGTAAGATTACGAATTGTTAGCAATTGCTATTAAATAATTGTTATCCGGCCGGCGGATTTAAAAATATTACAATTTCTGCTACGATGGAAGAATCGACATCGCGTATTATTTTCGAATGATTCTGTTTTCGAAAGTTTGAGTTTAAGCATCTATCGTCCTCCAGAGTTTACTCATTATAGCCAAAGTGACAACGTGACGTAAGTCCTTTGACAACAATAGTAATACTTACTGGTATACAATGTATATTTTTATTTTTTCTACCAAATTTCATAAATAATAAAATACAAAAAAATTACCTGAGATCCAAATTGGGCGACCAGTCTCTTTAGATCTGATATTGTCCTTGGAGCATCCGCGAGCTTCGGTGCGGCTGATAGCTGGCCGGATACCACCGTAAGGTTTTTTATTGTCTGGTTTACGCGGTTTTCTAGTTCTAAATGCATTTTTTTCAGTTCCTCTAGCCGATAGCTCAGGTCGCTGGCGTTGGCTGTAAATTCCTTTGCCGTTGCGTGGCACATTTGTAGAGCATCGTTGAGGATGACATTGGATCTTGATACTGTGGACAAAATTAATACCTTGTGACTCTTCATCGCGATTTGGTAAAGGAGATTATAAGAAACTAATCACCGAATAAAGGACTAAAGTAGATAGAACTTTATTCTGTATAATCAGTAGTAAAAGTTATCATTATCAACAGCCTATAATAGTCCACTGCTGGACATAGGCCTCTCCTTAGAAAGGAGGTTTTGGCCTACTATACCACGCTGGCCAGACGGGTTGGTATAGGGTTTAGGAGGTCGACGTGGGGGCTGGCCGCTTTCGCGATGCGATTACGCATGTATGCGATGCGGCCATGCCCCGCGTTCGAGGTCGTCGGCCTCCAAGGAAGGAGGTCTACTGGTGGTCCCAGGAGCTGGCGGACCTCCGTGCGGCCTGTACACGTGCCCGGAGGTCCTACACGCGCAGTCGGCGGCGTCACCGTGGAGACGGTGAGGAGGACCGGCTTCATGAGGAGTACCGACGGGCGCGGAAAACTCTGAAGCTGGCCATTAGCCGCGCCAAAGAAGAAAAAAGACAGGAGATGCTGGAGGGTCTTAATCGTGACCCCTGGGGTCGCCCTTACCGCGCGGTGCGACAAAAGCTCCGCGCGTCGGGCCCCCCCCTTACGGAGACTCTCCAGCCCAGCTTCCTGCGAGAAGTGGTTGAGGGCCTTTTCCCACAACGGGCGGAACACACTCCCCCGTCGATGGCCTCCTTGGCCGGAGACGACGGGGAGCACGGGGAGGATAATGTTCCGCCCGTCCGGGAATCGGAGGTAGGGGCGGCTGTTCTACGGATCCGTTCCAAGAACACCGCCCCTGGGCCAGACGGGGTACCGGCCCGAGTGCTGGCCCTGGCCCTCAACCACATGGCAGACCGCCTCGGGGAGGTGTTCGACGCTAGCTTGGCGTCGGGACGCTTCCCTGAGTGCTGGAAGAGCGGGAAGCTGGTCCTATTGAGGAAGCCGGGACGGCCTGCCGATTCGGTCGCGGCCTATAGGCCCATCGTGCTGCTGGACGAGGCGGGCAAATTGTTTGAGAGGGTTCTTTCTGCCCGCGTCGTCCGGCACCTCTGCGAGGTGGGCCCCGATCTGTCGGACGCCCAATTTGGTTTTCGGGCGGGGCGTTCGACAGTCGACGCCGTGTTTGCGCCTGAGGGCCGTGACCGAAGAGGCCGTGAGCTGTGGCGGCGTGCTGTTGGCGGTGTCACTGGACATCGCCAACGCATTCAATAGTCTGCCATTCAGCTGCATCAGGGAAGCACTCCACTATCATGGGGTGCCAAAGTACCTGAGGCGGCTGGTGGCGGACTATTTAGAGGAGCGTACCGTCGTGTACGAGGACCGAGAAGGTAATCTGAGGTGTCGGCCCATGTCGTGCGGTGTTCCACAGGGGTCTGTTCTTGGACCCCTCTTGTGGAACATAGGGTACGACTGGGCCCTTCGCGCCGATTTCCCCCCCGGGCTGGGTGTAATCTGTTACGCAGACGATACCCTCGTGACAGCCCGGGGGGCAAACTTCCAAGAGGCGGCGCGCCTGGCCACAGGGGGAGTCTCCCTGGTGGTCGGGCGCATTGAGGCGCTGGGCTTACGGGTGGCCCTAGATAAGACGGAGGCCCTGTTATTCCATGGGCCCCGTCGTGGTCCACCCCCTGGCGCCTCCATCGTGGTCAACTCGGTCCTCGTACCGGTTCGGGCCCAGATGAAATATCTGGGCCTGATCCTCGACGGGAGGTGGCTCTTCGACGAGCACTTCCGAAAGCTTGCTCCAAAGCTGGTCGGCGCTGCGTCTGCCCTAGGGCGACTCTTGCCCAATATGGGTGGACCCAGCGTCGCGACAAGACGGCTGTACACGGGGGTTGTCCGGTCAATGGCACTGTACGGTGCACCGGTGTGGGCGGCGGCTCTGACCGCCCAGAATAGGGTACGCCTCTGGCGCCCTCAGAGGGTAATGGCGGTCAGAGCCATACGCGGTTACCGCACCGTTTTCGACGGAGGTGGCATGCGCATTGGCCGGAACTCCCCCGTGGGATTTGGAGGCGGAAGTGCTCGCCGAAGTTTATCGGCGAGTGGCTGACTTCCGGGCGGAGAGCGGATTTCGCCCTCCGCCCGAGGATGTGCGCGAGTGGCGCGAAGCCGCTCGCCGAGCCACGATGGCTCGTTGGTCGTTCCGGCTGGAGACTCCACGCGCTGGCTTCGCCGCCGTGGAGGCTCTCCAGCCGGTCATCGCCGAGTGGGCAGGGCGGCAGCACGGGACCCTTTCCTTCCGACTGACGCAGGTGCTTTCCGGGCACGGTTGCTTCGGAAAGTACCTGCACACGGTCGCTAGGAGGGAACTGAGTCCCGCCTGCCACCACTGCGACTGCAGTGAGGACTCGGCCCAGCACACGCTGGCGGTCTGCCCCGCATGGGCGGCGCAGCGCCGGGCCCTCACTGCAGTCATCGGAGTGGATCTCTCGCTACCGGCCGTAGTACGCTCCATGGCCGGTAGCGACAGTTGTTTTACCGCGGTCGCAACCTTCTGCGAGGTAGTAATCTCGCGGAAGGAGGCGGCGGAGAGGGCCCGGGAGGACGACCTCCACTCGGACCCGATCCGCCGCCGGCGAACCGGGCGGCGGAGGCCCGCCTACCACAGCCTCATGCCGCCCTGAGTGTGGCCGCGGGTGGACGGGGTGGGTTTCCCCTCCACCCGCATTAGTTGGCCAGCCGCGAGGGGGGCGGCGTCCGCGTGTGCCGGACGTCGCCTAAAGAGAGGAACATCTACAATGAGACGGAGCCCGCACCAGGAGCGGGCTGGCGCTAGGAGGGGTCCGGATGTCTTAACAACAGCTGTTCCCGGATCCCTCCTGTTACAGGCGCAGAGTGGCACACCGTGTGGTTTTAGTCGGTCCGAGTCCGACACACCACCCCGCCGCAAACCCCGGAGGGGTGACGGTCCGAGGGGATTTCCACACGTTAAAAAAAAAAAAAAAAGGGTTTGTTTCAAGTTTTCCTTCTTTTTGCAGTGCTGTTGTCCTGTGCAGTTTGTTCCCTTAGTCGGCTCTTACGACACCCACGGGATGAATAGGGGTGGTGACATTCCGTATTCTTAATCCGTCACCACACGGATATAAAGTAAAAGTTATGATTACTAATAAATACATGTAATAAAGGCGTTCCGCCGATGAATCGAATGCATCTAACATATACGAAGAAAATTCTTTGTACCTCTTTTTATATAATTTAATATAGAAGTGCAGACAGCTAACATTTTTAAACAATATGTGCTAAAAAGTTAAAAATGATCTAAAACCGACTACATATAACTATAGGGGTCCAGTATATATTTTGAAATGTCTTGGTACAAAAGTCTTTACAATGACAGCTTAAGTTCTACTAGTCAATGAAATAAAACAAGACATTTGAAACGATAGAAATTAGACCATTAGGCGATCTCCTGTCATCCAATGCCATTTACTATAAGATGTAAGTATGGCAGTAGCATATGGAATTCCTTTACCACAAACCATGTTTTTAACTTAATAATTTAAACAAAACGCATTAATAAGCGTAGCGTACGCGTAAATAATTGGGTTTAAAGAACTTTATTAATGCTCAAGAACGTTACAGTCCAATTAGTGAGCATAATATAAAATAAACAAAGTAATAACAAGGAACAGCGATCGTAGGTTTCTAAATCAATGACTCAAAAAAAGTTAAGAAAACAGATTGCATTGTCCTATGTACTTACACGAATTTATATTTGTCAAAAATGTCCGGTAGTTTGAAAATTCCAACTAGATTACGATGATCGAAGCAAAATACATAAACACCCATCGAGTGAAAATTGTTAGCATTGTATAAAGGAAAGGTTTTATTAAGCAAACTTGGAACTTAAAACATTTTATCATAATACGATAAATAACAGCTGTAATCGATATTTTGAATATTGTTTTAATTAATTAATTAATTTGAATACCAGAATATTTAATTGATAATAGATTTTTTTATTATCTTTCAACACATATTCATAATTCAATATAAAAATATTATTATTTTTAAATTTACTTTTCTTATAATCATTTTAGAATGAACATTACCGTCATTTGCCTTATCTTTTTTATAAAAGTGTTATCTTTTTCTCAACTGTCCTGTTACTGAAAAGGAGTGCAAATGATATTTTTTTTAATAAAGCCAACAAAAGAAATTCTCACACATAGCAATGTGGCAGTCTTATTTGTAACTATTATTATTCTTTTAAATTATTAATATATGTTATCATGTAAGTGGCGTGCAATGGGAGAGGCCTATGTCCAACAGTGGACTGCGATAGGCTGATGATGATGTTATCATGTACATACTTTTTAATCTGTGATCTAAGTATACGTATACTCTCACTTTCCATCATATCATTGGGCAGTTTACTATACAAATTTACTCCATTATACAGCAAATTTCTTTTAACGTATCCTGTTCTTGGTGTTAGAAGGTTTATTTTATTTGTATTTCCTAAGTTATGCGTATATTGTCTCTTAGTTAGGGATGTCTAAGTATGTACTAGACCCGACATGAATTTTTTTAATTAGCGTACACATATTTTCCGTATATATTTTTGTATACAATTCGACTTTGGATGACGGGGGAAAGGTACCGCCGACCATACAGCGGTGCTAGAGCTATATGCCGGATATCCAGTCCACACAAAAATCAGTGCGTAAAGCACTCTTTCCCTCGACATATTCATAAGTCGTGTGGGCCCGACGGAATTTCACCTATCGTGTCGAAGACGTGTGCTCCGGAGTTGACACCGGTTTTAACGCGCCTTTTTCGATTCTCCTACTCCTAAGGTGTCGTCCTGAACTCCTGGAAGGTAGAGTTCTTGCACCCGACCCCTAAGAAAGGTGACGGCTCTGACCCGTCCAACTACAGGCGTATGGCCATAACTCCTTTGCTCTCTAAGATTTTGGAATCCATAATCCACTGACAGCTCCGGTACTTAGATGATCACCAGCTACTCAATGACCGACAATATGGTGTTC